ACATATATCAATTTTTTATTTAAATAAAATTTAATATCGATATCAATTTTTTTTTTTTTGGAATAGAGCTAAATTTAATGCAAGCAAATGTTAGAAAGTCTCATGTTTGAATGGTAGGACCGAGAGGTGGATTTATATAGAATAAGGGATTGAAGTTTTTTTGTAAAAAACTTTTTTTTTTATGAAAATATTAATATAACGAAAAATTACAATCACATATAATAAGTATTCTTGTATAACATTAAAAATTAATAAATTAAATCAAATAAATACACCAATTAATGAATTAACATATAATTGAATAAATTCAACAAACTTGAACTAGAAATCTGGTACTGCCATTAAAACAAAGTTTCATTGATAAAAACATATATATTACTAAAAAATAATAGCAACGACTTTTCTTTTTCAAAAGATTCTCTGATAACGATTAATATTGGCATTGCAAGGGTTGATATCTAACGAAGATCACAGAATATTTTAGCACCCACGGGAGGAGAAAAAACAAAAGGGGAAAGAGAGGGAAATTGATGCATGCTTTTCATGTAGAACTAAGCACGCTTACACATACTTTTTTTTCTTGTTTTGTTTGTTTTCAATCTAGTTTCGTCATGCATATATTAGAGCAATTATCTGCTTTTTCTACGCGTGATTTTTGCTTTTTATTAAATAATGTTAGAATAAAATTGCATAAATAATAATCATTTCCAAATGAGCATTTGATTCAATAATAATTAACGTTTATTTTTTTATATACAAAGAAAATTGTGGTTTAAATATAAAAGAAAGAATTGTAAGTATTAAAGTTTGAATATCAGACTTATTAAATGTTATTTTTTAAGGATCATTACATGAATCAAATAAATTAAATTTTTAATTCTAAATATTTATATTTTATTGTTTAAAGAAATGGTTCAAATTAACATGAGTTATTCTAGTGCTGCAATTAAGAATTAATCATTCCATTCTTCAGCCTCCACGTACACGCACATATTTGATGAATCTATTTGTATGGTTCAATTCTTGATGAATTCCAGATAATGAGTTATCCAAATGATGAAATTGATGTTAATTTGCTAAAATCCCTAATCAAGTTGATTTCGGTTTGTCTGATTCCTGAAATATGGCTCTAGTATTTTGACATGATCCTGATCTTTAAATGGACCAGACTTCGGTCAAGTCAGCTGCTTTACATGGTTCTAAATCTAATCATGCATGATCGGCTTGGCTAAATTCTAACTTCTAACTTGTAACCTTAATAATTTTTATTTACTGTCAGTAACGGTTTATTTTCTTGTAGGTTAAGTTTGTGAACAATTGGCAATTGTAGGTTGGAATTTGGATCAATCACCCTTAAAACACCAAATATTTTTTACATTTGTGATGAAAATAATAAACAATTTATCACCAAAATTCGGCAAAATAAATCAAATCAATATTAAGCTTCATAATTAGCATTGTGTTATATGTAACGGAAAAACATGTGGGACATAGAATAAGAGAAGCATAAAAGTGAATTAAAAAAAAAAAAAAATCCTAACAAAATTCGAATTTGATATGCCTACATTCTAGAGCCACTACCTTTTCCTTTAAGATAAATTCTTAGATCGTTTGGTCATCATTCTGGAAGAAGTCATAGCCAGCAGCCCAAGGCATCAAATCCTTTATACTTTCACTCGTTTCATGAGTGGTAAAGTTGAGATTAGATACTCAAAATTAGACAAAAAGCAAAGAAAGAGTACAAGGATGACTTCAACTTTATAAAGAGGCCCAACAAAACGTGGACACGTGCCAGTCGCACGAGGAACAATATAAGCTGTTATAAAGCAAATTGTGTTAATAGAAGAAAAAGATGGTTGAAATAATCTTACTCAGCTTGACGTGTGATCAAATTCTTAATTATAAATTAAACTCACATGGTACCTTTTTTTTTTTTTCTCACGGAATATTTTCCTTAATTTGACTTTTATTTTTTTTTTATATATTTAAGATTAAAAATTTAGTATTCTACCATTTGAAAAAAAATCCAAAAGAAGTTGAACGCATATTATGTGTGCGAAGAGGATAGAGAGTATGTACCATTTACAATAGTAAAATTGGAGTGATCAATTGGACATGCAAAAGAATTACATCGATGAACATATTAATTGTGTGAAATTAGTTCAAACTATATTACATCGATGAACATATTCAAATTAAATGAAGAATAAACAAGTATTTCACAATATACATGATTACATGACTTTATTAATTCAATTTATAGGATGTACTAGCTTTAGCATAGTATTCAAAAATATAATTTAAATATAAACTTCAAATTAAGTAATTAATTCATTGAATACCATATAGATTACAATTATATCATATTATTATTAATTTAATTTGGTTCTTCTCTTTGTTTTGATTGCGAGTGTAATTCATTTGATAATGGAAATTTTGGTTAAGTTTCTCTATCATATTTTGGCACAGTCCATAGTATTATTTGTCATCGATAAAATTGTTATTTTATAAAATGTTTAAATATGCCATTTAAAAGAATATATGCCTACCAAACAATACCAGCGTCCAAAGTTTTAGTCAAAGGTCTTTTTCCATTAAATTCTTTTTTTTTTTTTTTTTTTTAGCATTTAGGAATGTAAAGTTTAATTTCAATTTGCAATGAAAGAAAAAGTTAATCTAGGTTTAGACATTTCCAATAGAAAATAAATTAAAAAAAAGGGTAGGTTAAATGGGTCCAATTTTCCGCACGTCACGCTTGCATTGTAAACAAAATGAAAAATGGAAACCTATAAGCATAAAGAATGAAATCATAAAAAAATAAAAAAGTTGAAAAAATAAATTGATGAGAAGATATGGACTGAACTTAATGCTTAAGCTTTACGTACGCTTAAAGGTAGAATGTTGAATTCATAATCTTTATTTTACAAAAAATAAATCTTTGATGAGAAGAAAAAATATATTTGCATTTAGGGTTATGGATGAACTTAAATTCTTTTTAATTTCTTATTAAAACAAAGAAATCGAGGTAATTAATGAAGAAGGATTTTAAAAGTTGGGAGCAGATGCATGCGTGAATTTCCTATTCACTCCAAACTAAGATAATGATAAAGATTAAAGTGGATTGGAATTTTAATTATTTATAAATGATCTTTGCTTTGAGGATCTTAAGTTAAGATAGGCACTCAATCGAAACACAACGTGGACTACACAATAAATGGGACATACCCATCTCTTTATTTATTAATATAAGGCACCTACTTTCATATATACACACATATATATATTATAAATAATTCTATCTATCAATATATAGATTTTTTTATTTTATTTTTTTACCAAAATCTTGGCCCATAACTTATGATCAATTCAACATGTTCAATTTTTCATCTTAGTTTTTAACTAAAATTTAAAAAAGAAATTCAATTCGTTAACTTTTTACTGTAATTTTCAACTGCAATCGTAGACCAAAGTAATCTTATATATATATATATATATATATATTTTTTTTTTTCCAACAAACATATGTTCCACGCTCGAAGGCCAAATGTGGAATTGAAAAGAGAAGAAAAAAAATAGTGGTGAATTACATGATGGACCTCTCTCTTTCGTACTTTTCACTTTGTTTACAATGTCTAAAATCAGACTGAAAATCTCAAATTTTGTAAAGAAATGAGATGATGTTAACCTATACAATCTTGAGGGAATGCAGAAACTGGGGATTTTGAAACTTAAAACTCATTGATGCTCATTTCTCATCTATTTTTGTTTAGTGCAAAAGCAAAGAAAGCATTAAGGCTCAAGTTTGGAGATGCACTTTCGATCCCAATTTCCACTCCACCCTACCATTTTAGTCAAAGTAGCAATGCTCCTTTTCTTTTGGAAAATGATAGAATTTCACCCTCCAAAATAAAAAGCTCGATGAGCGATCATATCAGCCTTCCACTTACTAAATGCCTTGTAAGCCTTATCGGCTACGTCAGAATATTAAAAAAAGAACTTACACTGGAATCCTCACATTTTCAAATAAAAAAAAAAATGTATTTCTTACTAATTTTTTATCAAGCTAGTAATTTTGACAAATAGACCGACCAGTCTTGATTCGGTAGAAAAAGATTGTGAACTCAAAATGTCAAAGATAAGATCTTCCAGTGCCGTTAGCCAAATCTCAAACACAAAAATAAAAATGTGCTTATATTAAGAGTCTTTTCTTTATTACTCGTGACCACGAACAAACTATCTGAAAATGACATTTCATTTTTGCAGCAAGCATGGACGGTGGTGCACCAGAATTTTACTTAGCCCAAAATTGAAGTTAGAAACCCTTCAAAGGAGTCAAATTTGCAATGACTTGTTAGATCACTATAAGCCGCTTCAAGCACTTGCTTTCTTTTCAACTCTGATGTCTACTCTTTTGAGTTCAAGTTCATTGCATCTCAAATTTTCATCAATTCATCACCGGCCTTTCACTGTCAATCCCCACCTTTTTTTTTAAATTTTCTTTATGCCACGTCGTTCACGAAAATGGGGTCGTTTTCCCTCTTTGGGTGAGATGTTATACATTCATAATTCCAAAAGGCCTGAGGCTTTGGCATCGATCGACTTGGGCCATTCGGAAACAGAAAAATGGCAAAAACCCCACTTCCATCCATAGCTAGCTTCACTGTGAAACTGATTTAAGGTCAGTGTGAAGAAAGGGAGGTCATAGCCCCCCGTCATAAGAAAGTGTCTGGCGGTGGCTTCTTATTGGCTTTTTAGACAAACTATTCATTGAAAAGTTACAACTATGCCAGCGCACACACATACCTTTTAAGGTTTAACTCGGCATAAAAAAAGGTTCACCGTTTGAACACCCTGAACAAGAAACAGAAATGATAACAATAATGTAAAAAGGGCTGATTAAGTTAAAATGATTAAAATATTTTACCTGTAAGATTTAAATTTGAATCTGTTATCATAAATTTTTTTAGTGAACAATTTATAAATTCAATATAAATCCTTTTTACTCGATTTTGAAATGAGAAAACTTCCTCCCATCTTAAATTTTGTTCGGACAAAAAATATAAAAAATAGCATAGTAATGAAATTAAGATAGCAAAGATCGGCTTGAATACTTCATCATGAAAATGACTTGTAATCAAAGCATTTAGAACTTTTCAAAGTTGAATTTTTCTGGTTTGTCCTGATCTTTGGTGTTGGAGATAACTTCGAATTGCCATGTAACTCCAAAATCTTGCAGGCTTCCACGATGATTCCTGAAAATTACAGAAACGACTAACATGTTTCTAAGCAGAAAGTGGACAATTATTATTATTATTTTTTTGTCTTGTCCTGGATGGGTGCGATGCACTTGGACCAACGGAATCAAAGCGGTAAAAATGTTTGGAAGTTCTGTTACTTTTCCATTTAGACTAGAAATAAGGAGCTTAAAGACTAAGGTGAACAGGAAAGAACATAAATGCATGGCAGGTTACAGGCTCAGGCCTTTTCTGGTGTAGATTGAAAGAAATACCTTCCCAATCATCAGGAGTCAGAGGCCAAACAGCCTGGAAAGTGGAAAGTACGCACCACTTAAAAACAAACTTTCAGCTACAGTGTCTGGTCAGGGATAGCTACAAATCCTGCAGCTATTGTAGAATTTTACAAAGTCCTACATTATAGTCAACAAAGTGAGAAAGCAAGGATTTTACCAATTAAATCTAATTATGGATCAAAATTAGAACCAACCTCATTTGATTTAACAGCATTACAACTTCTAAAACTTTAACTCTATTTACCGAAAAAGAAATTAAGAGAATGCATTAGCAGCTACCAGCATATAAATACAATTTAAGTTTTCTATAAAAGTTAATGTCATAAATAATCCTTAAACTATGGTGAAATATTCAATATAATATCTAAATTTTAAAAATCTCTAATGTGATACCTAAACTATGAATATGTTAAAAAGTTATTTGTTTGCCTCATCTCATTTGAAACTAATCATGTTAAGGATAAATATCACATTAGTTAACATATTCATAATTTAAGTATCATATTAAAGATTTTAGAATTTAAGTACTACATTAAATATTTCATTATAATTTAAGAGTCATTCACAACATTAATCCTTTCTACAACATGAAGTATTCTGAGTAGGTCTTCATTTAGAATATTTAATCAGCCTGCACGAATTTTTCATAATTACATGAGTTGTAGTGTATCAAGACGAAAATATTCCTTTTCATACACTATCAAATATCTTGAAACAATAACGATACTAACTGTATTAGTTTTTCCACTAACGGAAAGTTTGCAAAAGAGTTTGCTTACCAGAAAGTTGTTCCACATACATCTAAAGCATTATAGGGCTGATATTCTTATCAAAGCCGCAAATATCAATGATCTTCTGAAAGGTGCTGAGTCACTGTCAAATCATTCTCCAGTCTCCACATGCAAAACTCAGTATATATCCACTATAGAATTTCCTATCATCAGAATAACAGAAACATGATTCTCTATAGAAATCAAACCAAAGATAGGAAAATAAAAGTAGAAAGAAGATATCAACCAGCCTTAATGAATGCAACTTGCTTTTTTGAATCCGATGGAAAGTGGGAGCTGGTTGGAAGGGAAACTTCCAAACCAATTAAAAACAAAACCTAGATAGAATCCAAAGTTCAACTTAGGACCATTCCTTTGATGTTGACTTTTGGCAAAGAAGGATATCCATATCTCATGACAAATCAAAAAGTCTCACCTTTTGTTTTCTCGCAGCTCATGTCAGTCATAAAGAAATAATCAAAAATAATCCTACTCACCATTTTCAGTAAATCCAAACCTAGTTCTCCTCGAATGCTTTTCAAATCTGACGGCGTTGGTTACGTACCAAGTAACTTAGAAGATTTAGTCACAAAATTTTTAACGAAGATCAATTCATTTGCAATAGTGCTTGAAATCGCTGACAATTGACAAAGTGTACAACCTACGAACTAGGGCTTCTGAAAGAAGATTTAAGTGGTTGTAAAATAAATCCTACATTGATTAAATTCGGCATATCCTAGACACTTGAAAATAACAAGGGACTCTACAAGATAGACTTGTTACGCCTATGCTAGACGATGGATTTGTTATGCTTATGCTTGAAGTTCTGGCCACATGATACGTTTATCATCTTTACAAGGGAGGAGTATTAACTAATGATAAAATAGATCACATATTGATTTTAAGTTTGGAGTATCTTGGACACTTGAATATAACAAGGGCCTTCCCACCTCTTTTCAATGAGTTTTAGTTTGGAAGCTCAAAATTTAACATGTTTGATAAAGATTAAACATGAGGCCCCCCTTAATATCCGAAATCAAATAAAAAGACAAATTTTTTAGCCAGCAATTCCATTTCCAGCTTTTCCATAACAAATGACTCTCGACTAAAGATTGTAACATTGCCAACTGCTGATGACAAGACATTCTATATTGGCCTACAAAAGTCCTAAATCAAAGCCCGGACAGGCAAAGCAAGTTTTATACAAAGACTATAGGTAAACTCATGCAAAAGAGAGATCAACAATAACATTAATGGTATATGTGACCATCAGATAAAACAAAAATCAGCTGAACACAACAGAAACTTTTATATAACATGATGTGACTTTTCTTCCACAAACATTTAAAAGAAGACTATATACGTTGGCATACTTACTAAATGGCAACACCCCGATGAACGGGAGCCATGCAAGAACTCATGCAAAAAAGGCTATATGGAGAAAACAAGCTAGACCATGCTGTTGTTTCAAGATGGCCAGATCTATACTTACACTATATTAGTATCCTTTCATTTCCATTTCAAGGTGCTTGATGCTCAAGAGATAGGCTTACAGCCTTCCATTGTTCTTACTTGTCAATAAGATCTTCACTAAAAGATTTGACAAAATGGAATTTTATCTTCCACGAGGCATGCACTCTTCTCCATTTTGCAACAAACATACAGTTTGTGTCTTCAAGGCATTGACATCATTGCTCACCAAGTTAGCATTTACCTGTATTTCAACACAAATTAACCAAAATGTAATGCAATATATATTGAAGATACAAAGTGGATGCCATTGATAGTTACATCAGAGAAGAAAATATTTTCTATCATTCTAATTTGATTTTACGGTACAAGTATTTCTTTGTAAATCTAGCATTAAATGTTAAAAGAAAAGCCAAATAAGAAAAGGACAAGAAAAATCCATTGCAAGCAAATTAGATATTAATTTGAAATGTAACAAAACAGGTTCCTTTGAAGTTTCTACATTATTTTCGCATGATTTCTTCTTGATGGTTCCATTTTGGAATGCCAAACCCGCTCCCCTACAAGATGAAACATTAGAGGAAAGAAAGAGAATTACATTGTTGAGAACAAAAGTATCAGCAGTAAATTTGATGCCATCAGCTGTAGCACATGTTCGTAGATAATACATCCCAGTTTTTAGACCCCAGGAAAAAAAAGATGTTATATATGTTATCTACACAAGAACAGAAAACATAAGAATCAAAAGATGAATATTGTTTTTTAAGTAACAAATTTGAAAAAGTTCAATGCACAAAATCATGGAAAGGCAAAACAGTAGAAATCTCATTAAAGAATTTGCAATTTAAATGTAAAATCAAACATTAGAACTCCCATAGAACAATTGTAAATTTCTTTTCTTTTTGGCCATCGACAATTGTAGATTTTAAACGTCAGAATGTTGCATGAACAGATGATACCTTGGAACAGGCATAGATATGCAAGGCAGTTAGCTTTCCAGGATCTTGCTCCATGTGAATATTCAAACTCTGACTCTGATCCATATAGCATCCCCAACAACAGCCATGTTAACCAGGGTATTTTGCTTGATCTCCCACACAGTCCTGGTATTAGATGCCAATAGTAGATTAGAATGATAAACAAGATTTGTTACACTGCAGCTCAAAAAGAAATGGAAAAGAACCAAAGGTATCAGTCCTTGTAGATAGCCTTAAGCTCTTCAAGTATTTTAGAAACTAAGCCATTGTGGAAAAGTATCTCAGTCTTAAGAGCATGACACCATAGGCCCATTTCCGTCAAATCATGAAGTCATTGCTTGCTCACTACAACAAATTCACCACTGAAAATAAAAAGGGATTAGCTGCAGACAGATGCAAAGCCCTGCTTTGAAGAGCCAAATCACTACAAACATTAAAACCTTAAAACTCTGCAACTGTAGGTGTTGGAGGTGTATGGCTCAAAGCAATCTTCGTTGCTAAGAATCTGGCTGGTCATAGTAGCTGGCATAGGTGCTAGAAGAAGAGAATTTCTCACCCCATTCTTGGATATCATTTCTCTAAGATCATCCCAATATCAGCAATCCAATGGTATTACACCCCACATGTCCACCTGAAGTATTCCCTAAAGGAAAATAAGGGAGTTAAATTTCTTCCTTGTAAATCCATTGTCCTTATTCATTCCATATCTCTTTCTTTGACCAATCATGACAATTGTAGATTGCATGGTACTATCTTTGAAGTTTATTTCTATCATAATTATACTCACTGAATTGACTCAGGAGCATGGAGAACGAAATAGTCCAGCAGCTTCCCATTCGAGGTGCGCAATGGAAAGTCAACCTTTGAGGTCCGCAAACAACCGAATATACTACTACGGGATCTTCCGCTGCTTTTGTTATTATTGCTCTCACCTGTCACTATGCCACTTCAGCAGCTGGGACTCCCCAACCTTTTCTATCTCTCTTTAGAAGTAGGGCAAGTGTCTAGAGATCAGGTTATCTCTCTGAATTAGGTTATTCACTGGGCTTAACAGCCATCATGTCTTCTAGAGTTGATCGATCTGTTTCAAGAGGATTCATCCAAGACTCTAGATTTTGTTAATTCCAAAGAGGAGCCCATTCCTCCTTCACCTCTCTTAAGATAACAGTATCGATATCATAGTACATCTAGAATATCCCTATTCCACTACAAGATAACAACAGATTCTCTAGAGATAGTGTATGCTATCCACGTATATATCAAGTACATGTCTATATCAAGGAAAGGTGGAGTCCCTACTCCATTCCATACTGGAATAGGGGACTGCCTAGATGACTTCAGAGAATGACAGTTAAAGAGCATCTCATGTATACAATAATGCTAACAGAGACTTTCCTTAACTAAAAATCTCTTATACATTTCTTATTGTTCGGGTGCCATCATCCAATGGCCCCCTCTCTCCCTCTCTCGCTTCTTTACCCGCCGTCCAAGGCAGTAACCCCTTCGGTAACCGCTCACCCACAACTGTCAAAAATGCTATTTCATTCTACCATGACAGCATATTATAAATATCACTTCTGAACATAGCAGCCACATTTCTTTTGTCCATTTTTACATGAAAAAGATCACATAATTATATTTTAAGAGATTCGATTTAATGTTTTATTTTATAGACAAAAAATTTCCTGAAATGCAACTCATCCAGAGTTTGTGCAGCAAATGCTCCACAAAAGCAGAGTCATATACTTGGAAGAACTTAAACCATGGCATTCTATAATCCATCTTAAACCTGTTGGAAATTACATGTAAGGTAAATACCTTCCTCACAGGCCTCCCACTATCTGTTTTGTAAGGCCCATCTTTTCCAGCCAATTGAGAAGCTTTCAGTACATGATAATAGATGGTCTCAGTTATAACCTTATTTAGATGTTGAGCCTGTATTCAACAAAGAAAGACTTAAGTCCAGCTAAAGCAATTAGCAAAATCAAATCAAATAAATCAAAGCAACGTCTGGAGAATCAAATGGCATGCCAAGCAGGATGAAGGCTTCAGGTAGACTCTGAACTCCTAAATCAATGGATCTATGAAGTGTATTTGACCTCCTTGCACTTTCATTTAGGTAATAATTAACATCAATGATTCTATTAAGATTTTTAGTAACAGTCATGGTAATCTATCAGAGAAACAATTAAAAGAAAAGCCATTTCAGAAGTCCAATTCTTCCTGACATAAAGGAAGAAATACATTACATGAAGACATCAACTAAAAGTTAGTTTTTTTTTTTTTTTCAATCATAACATTATAGACAAGCCCATTGAAACAAACATGCATGGATTTGCTTCTTATTTAGCTTTTACATGTGACAACCACTTTTTATACGGAGTGCCAACAGTCAAAATACCACAGCTAATTTTTCAAAATCAAAATATCATTTCTTCCAACCTTTACTTCCAAGAAGCATGGATGAGTGTGACTCCATAGGAACCCTAGAAGAAACAAAAGAATCAATCATATGCTAAGAGGAATTATTTAATAACAAATAAGATCTAAAAGGCCTAGCTTTTCCAAAACAAATCTGGGCAGAGCGATAGATGCCAGATTGCACACTACAGTTTCTGTTGGATTAAGAACTCAGAAACCTCAGTGCACATATTTGAGGACTTGATAGTGCCTAGATTCTGCAGGTTATTTTTCCTGTTGCAAGAATCCTGTTCATGTAAAAATAACCAAATAAATAAGAGACAAAAAACCAAAGACTTCAAAATATCAAATGTAAAAGCAAAATGCTGTCAAGAGCATCCATCTGAAAACAAAGATATCTTGAAAAAGATATAAGGTTTCAAAATTAACCCATAAAAAGAAAAAAAAAAAAAAAGAAAAGGAATACCTTGAAAAGCATATAAGGAGTCCCAGTTTGATGTAATCATCAGCCTTGAAAAATACAAGATTAATTATCACATCACATTCCAGTGCAAACCACAGCCAATGTGGAGGCTAATATCTGCACCTATATGGCAAATGGTCACATTACCCCTTTCTCATCTTGCGTATACATTCTTTTAAACTCTTCACCCCAAGAATCAGCTAGACCGGGAGCTTCAGAAGGATAAAACAAGTACCATTATCCGTCACCTTGAACCTTTTCCATAAAAAGATCAGGAACCCAAAGAGCATAACCAGGGTGGTTAGCAGTCAAAGCAGCAGCAGTTTTAGAGGAAACTCAGCAAGCTGCGTTGTAGTGACAACTTCGTAGACCCCAAAATAGACCTTCTAAGCAACAAACATCGAATCACAGCGGTCTTTGCTTAGCCCTTAACTTAGCTTCTTCATTGTGGCGGTGAGCTTGTCGAAATGAACTGGTTCTTGACGCCCATCCCTCTTTATCACGTACATAATTGGATTGTTTCTTTGAGGAATATCGTCAAATGGGTAATGCGGTTAGAGCTTGTTTGCCAAGGCGATGGTATTTATCGAAAGAAATGAAGAGTTTTGACAAGGAAAAGGCATTGTTAGGACTAATGAAGTTAGAATTTGAAACTTTTTCAAATAGTTTTTGTTCCAGTATTTGATTCGGATTTCGGAGATGTGCTGCTTGAACACTTTTTTTTTTTTTTTAGTGTTTTTGTGAAGATTCCCGCCAAAACAGACATGAGCTAGATGGGTGGGGTTGTTTGGGCTTTTTGGGCTTTCGGATTATTGGGTTGGGTTTGGATTTTTCAATGTTGGCCCAAAGGTGTTTTCGACTTATTTATTTTCTTACACTAATTTCTTTTTTTGATATTCTTCAAGTTTTTTTTTTAGAAAAATGCAAATTTCATAAAAAAATTGTAATTTTGTATATAAAAGAAACTTAGATAATATGACTGGGTTATGTTTCAGTCTTGATCTCTCGAGGTGTGATAATAAATAATAATTTTTTATAATTAAATAATTAATTAATTAAAAAAAAAGTCTTTTCAACGTAAGATGAATAAAGTCTTGGTGATTATAAGAGTTTTCGTTCAACAGTCTTTGGGGGCTCTTTTTTTTTTTAGATTAGGGTTTCAGTTAGTCTTGTGTGGGTTGAAGTCGGAACAAAAAATAAAGTGGTAGAAGATTTAGAGGGATTATGGAAGTTCCTGACATTTACTGAAGAGGAAATGGATAGTATCCAACCAAACAAAAGCACACTGACCGTCGTGAGTATGAATGAACAAAGGTGGATGGTGGGCAAACTATTTACAATGAGACCTTTTAAAAAAGAAGTGATGATTAGTACTGTCGTAACGGAAAAAAAGAAATTCGATCACAAGACTCAACGAGAATTTACGGAGTTGTCATTAGGGGTGTAAATGATACATTAGTACTCGCAAGCTACTCGGATTCGATTCGAAGAAAATTTGAATTCGGTTCGATTATTGTCGAGTCGAGCTCAAGCTCGAGTAACTCGACTTATAGATCGAGTCGAATTCGAGTATTCTTATATCCGACTCGAGTAGCTCACAAGCCTAATCAAGCTTTTATATTTAAATATATTTTTATTATTTTAATTAATAAAATATTTTGAGTCCGAATTCGAGTTCGAGTTCGAGCATGAATAATCGAACTCTTATCGAGTATACGAATCGAGCTTATTTTTATATATTAATTGAACTTAATCGAACGAGCTCGAATAACTCGAATTCGATCACGAATCGAGCTCGAACCAAGTATCGAGCCCCGAATTATGAGTCGAGCTCGAGCTCGAGCTTCTCACTACTCGGCTCGACTCGGCTTGATTACACCCCTAGTTGTCATCAATAATATTTTTTAGAATGGGATTGGTTATTTAAAATATTATTTTTTAATAAAAATTTTAAAATTAATTAAAATTAATTAAAAATTATTTTTATTTATGAAATTAAAATAAGAGTTTGAGAATACAATTGCAAATGAAAAATGTATTAACATTTTTACATTGCTTGTTCAAAAAATAGTATCAGTTAAATATATGTTATTCATTTATTTTAATAATACAATCTCTTTATTTTTGTTTCAAATTAATTTCTTAAAATTAATTTTTTTTAAATTAATTTTTTAAATATTCTATAAATTCTCTAATATTTTAACGAAATTTATAGAAAATATTTTCATTCAAGAAAGTATTGAAAAAATTAACTATTTACAAAATTTCCAAAAAATTTATCTCAAGAAATTTTTTATAAACAATACGTGTAATTTAAAGTATTATAATTTTTTTTTAATTATTATTATTATTATTATTATTATTATTATTATCATCTAAATAAAGATCTCATTTGTAAAATTGATTTTAAGGTCATTCCAACTCTACAAATTTTTTTTTATAATAATTAAAGAAAATAAAACTCTTCAAAATTTTCTTAAAAATTTCATTCAAGAGATTTATTTAATTAAACACTTTCATTATTTATTATTTATTATTTAAATAAGTCTTTATTTTAGTAAAAATAATTTTTAGATTGTCTTAACTCATTAGTAAATTTTAAAAATATTTTTAATATCATTTATTTAAAAAAATTAAACTTTTTTAATTTTCTTTAAAAATCACATTTAAAAAAAATTATTTAAACAATTCATTATTTTTAGTTTATTTATTATTTTAAAGTTTTATTCTTAGCAAAATAATTTATTAAATTATCCTAACACTTTAACAAAATTTAAGAAATATTTTGCTTGTTATATCGTTTTTGTTTGAAAATTTTCAATCTTCCCTAATAATCATATATATATATATATATATTTTAAAAGGTTATTCATTTTTTTTATTTTTATTAAGCATATTATTTGTTTTAATTTTATATTTTCTATAATTATTTATTTTTAAAAATAACGATAATAATAAAAATAATACTAACAATAATAATAAACAAAGGAAAACAAAAATAAAATAAATAACTTTAGAAAATAAAAAAAACTAACCAAACGAGTCGGGTCGAGCTGCGGATCTTGTTAAGTCGGCCCGAATTTCTTAATCCTAAAAGAATATCATTTTAGGTTGACTATAAAATTCAATTTTCTAATTTTTTATATTTATTTTTTCCCTTTCTCCCTTCCTTAGACATTCATTCTCTAGAAAATTTCTTACCTTGTCGACCATCGCAGAAACCCATATTTCGGTTAATTGTCACTGTGCTATTGTCAAAATTTTCAACAAATGCTGAAAGCTTCAAACTTTTCCCAGATTCTTGCCTATTTCCTAGATGCCATTGGTTGAAAAATTCAAACGTTTCTAGATTTTGATGACCTAAAAATTTTGTTTAAAAAAAAAAATCTCAATACATCACTCTTAGTCTCTTAAATGCGTTCTTCCAATTAGTTTTTGAAAAAAATTCCCAAATAGCCTAAATCAAAGATTTTATTTTTGGTTTATTTTTTTTCTTGTTTTTAGTTTTTACTAGTTCCTCATAAGAGGATGTGGATAGTTTTTTTTTTGCTAGGTTTCTTTTTTACTGTGGTTGTTTATGTGAGGTTCTAGTAGAAAGGTAGTAAGGCTTTTCTATCCTTTTTTTGCTTCTGTGAAATTGCTCTATTAAAATTTTTCATGTAATTACTATATTGCTTTTTTTTTTATGTCTTTTTTTAAAAGGGTTTATACAGTTGAATAGCAACCAAATCCTAGAAAAATCTAGGATTGATGAATGTTTTGTCAAAACCACTAAAAGTTTTCTACAAAGTTTGATTTTTGCAAATTTTGATTATGGCTAGTGGAGGTTGAATTCGTTGCCTTAGATGCACCAAAAGTTTAGAGGAAAAAAGGCTCTTTAGTAGCTTATAAAATAAAAAAGCTTTATAGTAGCTTGATTTCAACTGCTACAGTTAAAAAATTTTGATTAATCAAATAAAAAATATATAATAATTAGATTTAAATAAACATGATTAAAATGCTTGGATCAATTTAAATTGGACAAATTAAAATCATGATTCATTTTGATCAACCTGGACAAAATAGGTGTCTAAAGTTATCATTTTATGCACATTACTGCGAATCAGGAATATGGCAAAGACAAAAAAAAGAATTATTTTGTTCGGGTAAAAATAATTTCTTGAATTAATATTACAACACTTAGGTGAAATTCAAGAAATAGTTTTTACTAAAAATGTAGGACTTTTTCAACTTTCTTTAATAATTATTATTTTGGGTTTTATCATTTTTTTACTAAATTTTACTAAATCTAACTAGAGGCAATCAAATTTTAAAAAGCTTCTCCAAGTAGAGGCTATGAAACTTGAAAATTCCTTTAACTAGAAACTATAATTTTTTAAAAACTTCTCTAACTAGAGACTATGATGCTTTAAAGAAACTCCTCTAACTAGAGGCTATGAGACTTGAAAACTCCTCAAACCAAAGGCTATAAAACTTTATCTAACTCCTATAACCAAAGGTAATTTTGAAGGATTCTTCTAATCAGAGGTGATGATTTTAAAGGATTCCTCTAACCAAAAGCCTTGAGATTTAGAATATTCCTTTAACCAGAGATAATAGGATTTGATAGATTCTTCTA